TCGAAGGTGTCGGCGTCGTGGATGAGGTCACTGCTCATCACACAGTACAAAGATGACAAAACGACCGAGCACTTACTTTTTCATTTTCTAGGACCTGCACTATAGAATGTGCTTCTACACTTTAACTCAAAGCTAAAAGTAGGATTTATGCATTCATTTCTGAGACTGTTGTGTATTTATTGTGTATGCTGTTGTGGAACAACTGCTAAACAAAATAAATTTTAATCTCAAATGTTTTTATTCAGGTTAAATTGAATAAAGTGGTTTACATTGTTTGTTTGTTTTTTGTATAAAAATGAATCATTTCAAAAGTGGGAGTGTTGCCATGAGACTTTACGCTTTGGCTGGTATCAATCAGTCTTAAGCCCTATTCGCACGGGATTAGTATTATTACCTAGGGACCACATGCTATTTGTAATAATTACAGAGATTATCTGAGTTGTTAATCCCGTGCGAATCGGCCATGCCAGTAATTTGTAAAGTAAAAATTCCCCTGCAAATTACCTACTGTATTTTGCTGAACTCCGAGGTCCTGTGATAATACTAATCTAACGCGAATAAGCATCTCTGTGATTTGGACATAAATGGGTGGGATCTGACATGTAATGAGGCGTTTTTTTGTTTCATTTTTCTAAGCAAAATCATTTGGAAAAATATAGAACAAAGCTATTTTAAATTAACGCGCTGCTCACTTCTGCTTTTGTAGATGCTGCTACTTCCTTCACCACAGATGACAGCAGGTGTGGAGATGCATGCAGCCGATGATCAGCTGATTGATCCATCCATTCATTATATTTACCCGCTACTTCCTTTTCGGGTAGCAGGGGTCGCTGATGCCCATGTCCAGCCATCACTGTACAAGAGGTGGGGGACACCCTGCACAGGTCGCAAGTCAATTTCAACAGGTGGGTCAGCGGACACGCAGCCAGTGACAGGTTGTCCATCTGAGCTTAACGCGACTTGCAGCGTGTTAACATCAAATCCGGAAGATGTCTGTAATTTTCAGCTAAATCTCAGTCTTTGGTCATCCCGTGCGAATGGGCCACATAAAAAGCAGACGTTGGGGAGTAATTTTTTTTTTTTTCATTCAACCTGTATTTAGACAGATAAATCACATTGAGCCTCGAAGACTCATTTACAAGTGAGATCTGTTTAGACAGACAAAAGTAGTGAATCTGGAACACGTAGGAATTGGAGGCAAAAATAATCCTATTAAACTTTTTTTCTTGACTGAGAAAAAAACTCTAATATTAAAAAAACACCTCGTACATAAAGCACATAGTGACATAGACATTCCGCAGAGAGGGGGAGAGACAACGAGAGCGGTGAGCAATGTTCAAGGATGCACTCGAGGACACTGTAAGAGTTCTGATAAGGATGGGATAATCAACCAGTTCCCTCCAGTGAGATCCGTAAAAATTCTCGAGTGATGTCGGGGAATGGCCAAGGACAATGCCTATGGGAATCCAAAAGTCCTGAAATGATGACACAAAGTTTATTCAGCTGGTTTCCTTTGGTTATCAGTTGGAAATTCCTCAATGGTAGGGGGAGGGGTCGGGGCAGAGCATCAGATCACATGTTTTCCAGGCAAATTCAAATAAGATGGCCTTCAAGGCCAGCCGGTGGAGCTAAATTCAGATAAACACACAGCTGTTTTGGGGACAGGCAAAACTTAATGACGCCTACCTTGAGTCTGTGTTGGTCCACTTGGGTTCTGAAATGTCCAAATTATGTGGCCACACCAAAAGAACATGCCTGAGTAAAATCCCCGAGATCTGATACATTCTGCCAAAAGCATTTGAGTCTGGGTACTCGAGGCACGAATCAAGCCATCATAAGGTAAGCAGCATGATCGGGTCCAAATTTGCTGCTGACAACTTCTTTGTTTGTAGATAATCCAGCAACCAGCCAAATCCAAAAAGCAGGAACCAGTTATCATAAATCTAATTGTAAATGCGTCCTTAAAATCCACAAATGGCAGCAGAGATAGACACATCATCAAGTCTTCCAAGTCGATGAGATATCCAGCTGCGTGCGTGCCAACAGGGCAAATTGGCTCGCCTAAAACCTGTTTTCTCTTCGAAGAAATGTTTAAAAAAATTGTGTTGAGGGACCAACTGATCAAATCAAGTCCATAATTATGGTTTTGAAGATATGTAGAGAGGCTCAAAAGCAGTTTCACAGACAAACAGAGCGGCAAAGCGGAGAGGGAGGAGAAAAAGCATCCAACCTCAGCAAGAGCAAGTGGTGAAGTGAATTTATTTATTACACGTGGTCCCTAGGTAAAACTAATCCCGAGTGAAAAAGGCTTTAATTGCAAAAACATATATTACTTTGGTTGCAGCACTTTGGTTGGCCTTGTCACTGTTTTAAGTGCTCTATAAATAAAATGGTATGGTATGGTATGGTATGGCATATATTAGTGATGGTGTTGTTCATAAAAGGCAGATTTGTTCAGATAAAGATGATTTTTGTAAAAATTTCTACAAAACCCAAGTAACTCTTACTGACTACATGTCTAATATTTGTTATTTATTTATTATTTGTTATTTATTGCTTGTTCTAAAAAGGTATCAGTATCGGAACAGCTACTTCAAACTTTACATATACTTATTTATTTAACCCTGCTGTGATTTAACACTGCTTGGAAAAGAAAAGAAGAAAAAAAAAGATGTGCTAATGAAACCCAAAGACCTTCTGATTGAATGATAAAAAAGGTGAAAACTAATGTAATGGAGCAGCATAAATTTGCAGGTTTTATACTCTGGTAGTCTCAGTGCAGCAGCAGCTAAGTGTTCGCTAAAACGGATATGCTTCTTGAAAAAAAGGTGACATCTGAACTCATTTTTCACCACTGGAGCGCCTTCACCTCCTGCAAAAATCACACTTATATCCTGAAAAAGACTGCCACATAAAGAAGAAGGGTTTTGTTTACCTATTATTATTACAACCAGGTGAGGATGCAAATAACAACACTCAGTTGTATCTAATTTAATACCAACGTTCAAGCTCAATAATCCAGGTAGAAATCCAACCATGTTCAGTCAGGTCATCTGGAGGGTTTCTTGTTTTGCTGAGATGTTTTGTCCTTCATCCAAAGGACTTCTTCAATCTAATTTAATATTATAAAAGGATATTAAGGATATGAGTGTCAAAAAACTATGAATGGACTCAATGCCACAAACATTTTTATACAAACCTTATTAATGACACTGTTTGGCATTGGCAGTGGAAAATATTTACTTCAAACAAACTGACTCATCATCATTCAAGTGATCTGTCACATTTTGTAGTGGTTGGACACAAGAATGCAGACAAACGAGAAGCTTGGAGGGGGGCTAATAAGCTGTTGTGGCAGCAAATAGAAAATAATAATTACAAAGGTTGAGGAAAACCAGAGGAGAGCCGGACATGGCAAGAAGCTCACACAATGCCAGAGTGAAGGTAAAGTGAAAACTGGAAGACTTTATGGATAGGGGCTGATGAGAGGAGTGAAGACTCCTGGGTAAAATGGCAAGTGGGAACAAATGAGAGTGGGGCAGGAGCTGAGGAGCAGAAACTGACTGAGGAAGAAGCAATCTGGTAAACACTGGGAAATTCCAGAAATCCACTGAAAACAACAAGAAACAAATAAAAAACTGAAATAAATCTAAAATAAAAATCACAAAAAGCTATCCAAAACTACCCATGAGAGACAGCTCCTGACATGATCACAACATATGCCTCGTTTTCTTTTCATGTAAAAAGTGCTTCTTTTTTGCTAAACAATTCACTTAGCTTAGCAACAAAATCAGGAGCAACAGAAAGAATACGAAGAGATACTGCATCATAAGGCATATGCCACAAAGTACTATTTACTTTCCCCTCCAGTATCCCATAAAGTGGACATTGCAGTGGTGGAGAACCTCAGAATCATTTTGATCCAATGGCTGAAGCCATTAATGCCCCAGGCCAGACCACTGAGCTGAAGCTATGCAAGTGTGGGAGAAGATGAGAGAAAACCAACTACCGTTAGAGGGAAAATAATACTGTCCATTGGTGCTTCAAAAGTGAAAGTTCAAAGAATTCTGCTGAAACGAGAAAAAAATAACATGATACGCTAAGAATTACTGCCATAAACCTCAATGAATAACAAACCTGGATGGACCTGTAACTTAGAGAGCAGAGTTGGGTGAGGTGCAGTGTTTCACAGAGGGTCATGTCTGGAGGAGGTGAGCTGTCTAAATGATTGGAAAGTGTAGTCATACCGTTATAAAATTCCCCATGTGGAGCAATTTAAATAACAAAAATGAACAACATTTTGGATCTTTCAAAACTGTAAACAGCTTTTTTATTATTATTATTATTTTCTGTTTATATTTGGATAAAAAGTAAGAATGTGACTAATAATGTAAAATCCATGGTGGGTGCAATTGATTAATTTCACAAATATAAACAAATACATGTGGAGTCCTGCTTCAAGATGCATTTAACTCCTTTGTTGTGACAGATTTAAACCGACATCTAACTTATGAATTGCACAGAGAGGACAACAGACTCGTGCAAAGTTGAGGATTGCGTCACGATATTATAATAGAAGAAATAAGAAGTGATAAAAATGAATTATCACACAGTCACACAACAGTGTGAATACAACTTACCTGGCAGCTGCAGAAGGTGTGCTGTTCAAAATAACAGCCTATTAAAATTACAAATAGTTTTTCACACTCCTGCTTCTGACTGCATCTACTTCCTGTCACCTAGTAAACTGAGCTCACAGTGATTTTTATATACCAATCACTGAAAGAACGTCTACATAATGTGACACAATGTTTGACATTGACTTTTACGAGTTAGAAAAGCACTTCAACTAGGAAAGTTAATGCATCTTTAGTTAACCAATTTAGCCAAGGACGGACTTAGAAAAGTAATAAGGTAGAAAGAATACATAAGGTCTAACAATAAATTTAAAGGATTGCTGTAACAAACAAAACACTTAAAATCTAATTCACAGTAATTACCGTATACAAGCTTCAGTTTTAGCTGATGCCTGGCTGTACTCTTCAACCGTTTGCTTGTAGTTGTCCAAACTCTGCAGGCAAAGAGACAGAGGGAAAAATGTGAGGACCACTTCAGGTAATTTGTATATTAGAAAATAATTTATATATACATGCATATATATATATATCATTGCATGCAGGTTATATCAAAGTCTTCAAATCAAGTTAATGCATCAAAGCTTAACAACTTGTTCATCCACACAGTATTGCCACAGTTGCAGCTACTTCTCTGCATTAATTCAAGTTGTAATGGGTCATAAGCAAAATGCACAAAACACCAGTGGAAATGTCACATCCCATAAATGAGTGACCTTTGGATTTCACAGCCTGCTTACAAATCTGAATATTGAAGGTCTGGTGGCACTCCATAATGTTTTATTTCATGCGAGAACCCCTGGCATTTAAATAGCAATTACAACACTGATGCAGCTTGTGGGCAAAGTCACATACAGCACACTTTTACCAGAATAAGCGCTGGTCAGAGTGTTAATTGCACTGCATTGTTGACGATATTGTAGTTTGGGCAACTGTGTAAACCATTTACAAAAACAAAAAGTAAAATTAAAAATCAGAAGCTCAACACTTAATTACTTTAATGGAAAACTCTGGAACACTGAAAAAACAGGTCTCTGATGTATAAAAAAAACTAGTGATGGATATATGAGACAGTAATCAACACATTAAACAACGGGAAATGGAACTAAATGTCATTTTGGATCATGGCTCTTGGGAGAATATTTGTTTTGGTTTTCACAAGGGAATCGGGAGCCAACTCTGGAAATGCAAAATGCAAAGTTAGGTTATTTCTAACACCATTTAAGACTTTTCTTTCTGGGCGTGACAATAATGGTGACTGTTGGAGAAAATGTGGTCTTGTGGGTGACCACATCCACATATTTTGGGATTGCCCTCGGGTGCAGGGCTTCTGGAAAAGGTGTCAGGGATGTGTTGGAAAGAGTATTGAAAATACAAATCCCTTTTGACCCTGTCATATTTTTACTTGATGTGTTCCCTGATCATCTCACCCCTGACCAAAGCTCTCTGAAACATATTCTCCTCATGACGGCAAGAAAAACGATCACGGTCAATTGGATGAAACCTGACCCACCAACTATTGATCAGTGGATTCCAAAACATAATGGAACAATTAACAGGTCAACTACAAATTAAAACTCTGAGCTTGGAAAGACTGTGGAGACCTATTGTTGACTTTCTCAAATAAAGCCTTTTGTTGCTGTTTTTGTTTTAATTATATCCTGTACATTGACAAATAAATATAGTGTGTTTGTTTTTTCTGTTGAAGCAAGACTCAATAGTTTGTGTGTAATTTGTCTTGTTCTTGTTTGGCAATAAAAGTTCCAAAAAATTTAAAAAAAGAACAGAAGCTCAATCAGCTGATCACCATAAAGGTTTTGCAACAAAACATAAAAAACACTTTGTCTTAAATATCCCCAAAACTGAGAACATCTTTCTAGCCACACTTGTATGCATTTGTTGCAGTTATCACCATTTTCAACTAATAACTGCAGCGCTCAAGCGTTTACTTAATTATTCTCCATATTCCCAAAAGATGAGATGATAGGGGAGGAAGATAATTGAAGTGACTGAGCAGAGAAGAGATGGATTCAAACACAAGCCTCCTGCACAATCACTCGCCCTCGACTCCTTCAGTGCCCACAAGTCATTTTCATATCTCATTATTTGGGGCTCATTCAGTAGATATTCTCATCCTGATCTGAGAGGTGGCGTTCAAGAAAAAACTTATTGCCACAGGCATCTTGAACCTCATCTTTACTGCTTCTATTCTTCAGCGTATAGTAATCTGCCATGTGTTAGGTTGCTTCTTGCTCATTAAGCCAGTAAAACAAAATCGTATTAGAAAAGAGCGCAATTTAAATCAACAAGTACCATTTCAGTTTTCTGTCAAACTTTAGTTATATTTCCTCAGAAATCTGCAAAATCTAGAAATGGAGGGTATTTCTAGTTTTACTGCATTATTTTCTATCTTTTTCTCTTAATCTAGATCAGTCCTTCTCAAATAGTGGGGTGCGCCCCCCTGGGGGGGCCCGGAGCAATGCCGAGGGGGCGCATGTGACCCCGGGGAACATTTTGCGGCAGGGATTAGATTTTTTTTTTTTTTGGCACAATTCTCATTGCATCAGGGTGCGTTCGGCAACTGTTTGATAAAATCCGGCAACTCTCAGACTGACTAATAATAAAGTTATGAACAAATGTGTCTGTCTTGTCGTTTGGGGAGCCGTGCTTGAACCGTGTCGCTGTGACACCTCCTCAGCGTGTGACGCTCTGGACGCTTGTCACCCACAGCACGCATGCGACGGAGAATAAACTCAAAACGAGAGCGACACCTGCCCCTCT